AGACTTTTATTTTGTTGAAAAATAATTTTTGTTTGTCTATAAATTGACAGTTTTTGCTGCGATAAAATCGCACAGATGTGTGCGTACTTGCATTTTCGAAGCAGTAACGTCTGTAGCATCAAAAACGGGGCGGATTCGTTGCGACAGAATCGCATAGGTGTGTGGAAGCCTTAAAGGTACTGGAATTTAAGTGCCTTAAAGGTATCGCTGCAGCAAAATCGTACAAGTGTGTGGTTCCTCATTTAAAACAATGGTCGGCATTGTTGTAATTTTTATCGGAACAGATTCGCACCGACAGAATCGCTTAAATGTTTCGAAAACAAAACATTTATGTACATACATATGTACATATATGTACTTTGTAGATTTTTAAAACAAACGAGATATAAATAAATGTAGGTACAGTATTAGGCACAGAGATGAGGTCATTTAACATTTTTTGGTTGTATGAATTATATACATACATATGTCCATGTTATGTACCAATAAGTTTAATTCCATAAAACTAAATTTAAATCATTTAATTACACATGCAAATATTTAACAGCTGACCACACAATGTGCGGGTCATTTTTGTTTACAAGTTCCTTGCTTAACATTTTGCTATTGATACTGTCAATCTTAAGTATATTTCTTAGTTTAGTTTTTATCAAAGAAAGCGTTGAAAATTTGCGTACTACAGCCGTAGAGCTATGTGGTAATGAAATTATATTAAAAACAAAATTGGCGAGCTATTTTCATTCATTCCATTTTTAATAGAATAAACTTTCTCCTAGAACATACAGTCAGTCAATAAAGTTTAGGTACAGCGAATTTTTTACAGTATGGGCAACTATTTTTTAAATATTTTATTTTTCGCTAATTTTTTATAAAAATATGGTTAATTCTACAACAAAACCCCTAAAATTCAAAATTCCAAACCTTGTGCAAAATTAAAGAAAATTCTGCAAAATTTCATTCAAATATTGCACTTTTTATTTACGCTCTCTAGAAAAAAGCTGAGTATGCAGTTTTTTAGCCCATTCAATTTTAGTATAATAAAGTGCAAGTATGAGGAAGCTAGGACTTACCATTGATTTTTGGGGAATTTTTTTGTTGAAGGTTTAATAGTTGCCCATATTTTAAAAAATTCGCTGTACCTAAACTTTATTGACTGACTGTATCAATATCCAGATCGGTGGAAAAATCAAGCTCACTTTGCTCAGTAAATTCCACTGTGTGGTTATTATATCAGGATCGCAATCTATGAGATGGGGAAACTTAACAAGAGAAATAAAATTGGTAAATCTTCTTTAGAAACTACCTAAGCTGGTGTCATTATTTGTAAAGATTTATATCTTCGCGATTGAAATGAAAACTTAAATTTATTTGGTCCAAAAACTCTATGTAAAACTTTAATATATTGGTTTTAGCTTCAAGGATTCCAGAACAATTGACATTACTTTTCATAAACATCTCAATTTTCGTTCCAACAAAAATGTTAGATATTTTAAAATGATAATTTTAATTTTTTAAATCAACATTAATATGTTACTGATCGCATTTTTTTAATAAAGTTACTCAAAATTAAGAGATAATGTGCTTTGATAGTTGCTTATAAGTATGGCAAACGAGAGCTTTCAGCTTGGAACTCTTTGTTAAGATTGTTAATTATAGGGAAAAAACGATAGAAAAAAATGCATTTGGTTTTGTAACACATTCCTTCTGCCAGGTCTGCAGATCGCATACCGTTTACTTCATAAAAGTAAGAAATGAAATATCGTGTTTGAGATATGCCGAAGATTTTGTGGGGTTTTACCATGTATCCTCTTTGGACCGTGGGAAAAGAAATTATATATGTTGCGGCACAGTGTCTCAATGCTTATCGGCAATTTTTTACAAGCGTAGCTTGAGCAAAGGTGAAGTGAGTGGCATGCGCACTTTACATATCATTACATTATCTGGCTACCCCAACTGGGTCAGACCTTCTGCTTTTTAATTATTTAAGCATCGATTCTCTTTATAACTACGTGGCATATATCTGCGGGAAATCCCTATTGAAGGATCTTACCAGTGTTGCCGTTTTAGCCCTTTGGTGGCTAGATTTAGCTACCACATACTTTTTTTGGCCACGTAAATTTGAAATTGCCCCTAGCCCTTTTTTTAGCCCTTTGGAGAATTTATTCACACATGGCGTGAAAAAGTTTTATATGCTTAATTTGATCTCTTTTTTCATTTATGTAAGATATGAATTTTTAAACTAAGAAAGACTGATATACATATATACATATATGTATGGTATGTTCCTTACGTTTTTATACATAAATACTATAAAATAGTTAAGGCTGTTCACTTATCTATTAGCGATTTAACTATAGTTTAATATATATAAGTTTACGGCCCTTAATTTGTTAAATGGCCCATCATGTCGATTGACTGTGTATGTTCTTGTGGTGTGATTGAACCAGCTGCTGGTGCGATTTCAAAAACTATTTTGAGTGGTGAAATTAGCTCAATTTACTATGTAAAAAGTATTTTGGCTGAAATTTCCTGCACTTTATGAGTCAAAGCAGTGTTTGTGGAAGATTAAGTTCGCGATATTGCAGTTGTGAATTAAAAAAAAAAACCAATGTTTAACAAAATGGTAGGAAAATTGTGAAATTTCGGCTCTAATCATTTTGATCTTTCCTCGACCTCATTTGTAAAGAAATAAATATTGTACCAGCATGCTGGTACAATCACTTGATGGTACAATCACTTGATGGAGCCAGCAAGCTGGTGTCGTATATTTCCCCTTTTATACAAAAAGGTTTAGCTTTTTACCCAGTGTTCATTGTTTTTCTATACCATTACTTATTCAAAATGTTTGTGTGTATACTTATATATCGTCGCTCGAATAAAGAAACAGTGTAAATGCCACATACACTATTATTCGATAATTGCACCATTGGATAGACAATCCTTTAATCTATTAGAAAAATCTTTAGTTTTCTTAAATATCTCTTTGGCTCACTAATTTATTCCCGAAAAACGAAATTGCATTTGTATGGTTTGTAATGGTTTATAAAAACTTCCAATTCGTTTTTCTCAAAACTATACTTTTCATGTTACACTATTTCATTATTCCAGCGACGATATGTATATGTTAGTAAAAAATTTTAGCTACCATTTTTAGCCACAACGACTTTTTTTAGCTCTTTTTTAGCCCTTTTTTTAAAGGAATTTGGCTACCACTAAATTTGATTCGCGGCAACACTGGATCTTACCCTTTGACTTTAAATAGCAAAAGATGGGGACGTAGAGGGAAAATTTCGCCGCAGAAGTATTCAACGTATCCAACGTATATAATAATAATAGATTTGGGCTTACACAATATGTTAGTATTTGGCCGAGCTTCTGCTCCGATTTGTGGCGCGAGCCTTGATTTTGCCACAAAAAGGGGAGGGACCTACACATTTACGCCGAATCCAAACGGCGATTGTATTTTCATGAGAACCTGGTTTTCATGGCAGAAATACACTTGGAGGTTTGCCATTGCCTGCCGAGATGCGACCGCTATTAGCAAAAACTTTTTCTTTTATTATATTTCTTTGTTAGTCGGAAAATAGGCTCGATCCTTGGCCCTGCCGGATGGTAGTGCGTACTTCTAACCACTACAGCACAGCAGCCGCCAAACCCTATAAAAAAAAAATGGATCGATAAGTAAACAAAATTACTGTTTTTTTGAAAGACCACCATATAACATCAAACGCAAATCACGAAAATGTGGTTTAAAATTAAAGTGCACACTTTCTTTTTTTATGCCTAGTATTTTTTTTTTTAAGATTGGTCCACAAAAAACATAAAAGAAATAAATCCAAGTGTTTTAAGCACAGAAAACAAAAGCAATATTATTAAAAGGACAATGTTCTCTTTGACGTCAAAGATCAAGCAGAAGTGGGAACTTGTATGGTTACGGTGACCATATTTATGGGAGCCGAATACGGGACAAAAAATAATTTTGCAAATTTTTTCTACAGAAAATTACAGATCTTAAAGCCTAAGATCCTAGACATACTGCCCCTGAAACAGCATCCTTATAGTAACATCTCAAATTTGTAGGATATTTTTACCCAGAAAATATTTTTTTTTAAATTCGGTAAATTTTAGTATAATAAAGTGTAATTTTGATATCGCTAAGACTTTTTTGGCAATTTTTTTGTTGACGGTGTTACGCAGTTTTTCATAAAAAGTAAGTATCTATGTTCGGCAATTTTTTTAAAGGAGAAGCACTTTCCACTTGCTTATTATTATAGTCAATGTTAATGAGCTTCAAAACTACAAACCTTTTTTTCCTAAGATTCTAATTAAAAAGTTTGAGGTTTTGGTGAAACATTGCAGAATAAATTTTTATACTTTTTTGCACAAAGTCGGAAATTTGGATTTATATGGTTTTTGTTAGGAAAAGAACTTTAATTTCATAAAAAAATAATAAACAATAAAATATATAAACTAAAGAAAAATAGCCAAACCTGGCTAAAATTTCGGGTCCTTATTTATATTTTGGTCACTTATGTATTCCTCGATACGAATCACAGGCATTCAGTTTAGAAAATAATAGCTGTTTATGGATAAAATTACGATCATATACCAACATCACTTAAAGCTGGTTCATAGGCAAGCAATTTTAATGAGCTGTTAAGGAGTCAAAATAACGAACACCGAATACGGGACAAATACAGGACATTAAAAGAAATACAGAACATTTGGCGTCCGGTATAAAATAAATAAATTACCAGGACAATGGGTCAAAAAAGAGGACTGTCCCGTATAATACAGGAGGGATGGTCACCGTATGTATGGTTAAGGTTTTGAGTACCTGAAATTCATGCTCCATTTTAAAATTACCATACATTTAAGTCCGTTTTTTAAATTAGCAGAAACTTATGCCTAAGTTAAAAAATGCCCAAATATTTATGTTAAATTTTTGAATATCCAGCAATGTGCAACTTTAAAATGCTTTTCTCTTTTGATACTTTCAGTGACTTCACGGTACGGCGAAACGTCAGATAAAGCCAAAAGAAAAGTTTTGAATCTCGATTGTGGAAATACATCTACTATTTAATAACTGTGCATGCATATATTTATAATTGCGTTTTTGAAAGAAGAAGTTAAAAAACAAAATGTTGATTAGAATGTATACCACTCAACTGATACTGGCGGCTTGTCTGCTATTATTCTGTGGTTTGGCGAGAGCGACCGATTCATCTCCAGCATCACTCAAATATCAAATAAGCTCATCCAGTGAAAATGATGACTATTACCTGTCACAAAAAGGTATGCCAAAATAAGAGGTTTGCAGAAGTTCAAAGTTAAGGAGTTATAAAAAGCAGTTTATTAAACAACAAAAAAAATCTTCCTAAATCCCAAAATGATATATTAAATTTCACTATTTTTCACTGTTTAGAAAATGTTTTAGAGAAGTCCTATCATGGCTTGATACGTGAGAATGAGACTTTAGTTGAAATAACTCCGCTCATCAAAGTCGATGAGGAGAAAATTTGTAATTTTCGCATTTTGAAAAAACCATATCATGAAATACCTTTTCAGGTACGTGTTTTCCCTAATAAATCGGTTTCTCACAATAACAGCTCTCACCCTAATAATAACTCTCCGAATGTCACTTTTAGATTGAATTGGTCAATAACTTAGGCATACTAAAGGCTCGTCGAACATTAAATTGTGAGAAGCGAAAGAGTTATCACTTTGAGATAATGGCAATTTTTTGCGATTGGACGCACTCTGCCACGGCCAATGTGCATATAACGGTTATAGATATAAATGAATACGCACCGACATTCCTGCAGCCATCGTACGTTACTGAAGTCGATGAAGGACGTCTGTACAAAGAGATTATACGCGTCGAGGCTACCGATAAGGATTGCACGCCACTATTCGGAGATGTTTGCAAATACGAAATCCTCAACAATGATCAGCCCTTTATAATTGACAATGAGGGTTCCATCAAGAATACCGAACCTTTGTCGCACAAAGTCTCGCATAACCACATTCTATCGGTGGTTGCTTACGATTGTGCCATGAAGGAGTCTGCGCCAATTATGGTGAGCATTAAAGTACGTCGCGTTTGTGAGGCGAGATTCCTAGGCATTCCTGAACGTATCGACTATACGGTAAGTTTAAAAATGCACAACAAAAATTGTACTTGAAGCATGATACAAAAAAGAGGGTAGGGAGGATAATAAAATTGTTTGAAGTTTCATAAATTGTGAGTATTATCAACGGCCTTGCCACTTTGATAATATTAAAACAATAAATCGGAGTATTTTCCTTCCCATATTTATATCAATGTAATAATATGTCAAATCAAAAACCATTATCAGTGCTTGGTATTTTTTTTATTTATGAATGGGACATAACTTGAGCGTATGTGTACTATGTATACATAAAAAAAATGTTGATTGAGACTAACAATTTGTATTACAAGGAAGCGTGGCAACCCTGATAGAAAATATTTTCTGACCAAAGTTCTCAACAATACCTCTCATTTGATACCCATATTGCGATGTTTTATATAAATTGTGTAGAATCGAAAATAAGTGGCAACCTTACACTATTATCCTAAGACATAACATTTTGCGTATAGGGATAGCATTGTTTAAGAACCTTCTCTTGGTACCTATGAATAGTAATATTTTACCTTTTTTTCTAAACAAACAATTAAATAAATATGCGATGCAAAATAGGTAGCAACTTTATTAAAAATATTGTTGAAGTAGGGATCTTTAAAATACCTTCCATTTGATACCCATATTATGATGTTTTAATTAATTTGTAAATAATTTCGAATAGGTGGCACCCGTATACGACTCTTCTCGGAGATACTGCCTATTCAGATCACCTTAAAATCCAAAACACACCTGTATACAAAATTTCATCAAAATCGTTAGAGCCGTTTCGGAGAACCCTATGGATATATATATATTAGACTGTCCCAAGAATATATGGAAAAAAACTTGTTTGCAAATTTTGATATGCATACCCTCTATATATTTGCTTTTTAGCCTAAATAGCATATATATGAAGTTTTATGGCCGTAGGCTAACGATAACCCGTGCCGACTTTTAGTTGAAGTTTTACTTGGTAACTTGAACTAAGGCTGCCAAATCGTCCATGAAAACTTTGGAAATGCAATAAATTCGAAATGTTTCCCATATTTGAACGCATTTCTAGTAAATCTGCATCTTTAAATTTTTAATAGGACGACAGGATTTCTCCCAAGGACATCGAAAAAATTAATTAATCGAAAAGTATAGCGGCTTTTTAACGGTGCATTACAAGGCTGCAAAACGATATGTTTTCTAGTCGAATAATTTGTGTATGTCCTGAAGGATTGCAATTGTAGAACATTTTTTAATAGGTGTGACAGGGCGTATGTTGAACGTTAAATTATTAAATTCAACTTGTATTACAAATGTAGTAGAAAAGTTGAATTTAATAATTTTGTATTCATCATGATAAAACAACCGAGCTCTTAGGAGTTCAATTAGAAAGAGTTTCTTTATTTAATGCGAATTATGAACAGAGTTTATATTCGTTTATATATGCAATTAATCAACGTGTGTACTTTGCGATGGACGAAAATCAAGAACTGAGAAATGACATTAGCTTTTCATACAAGAGAGGAAAGGCAAGAGTTATTGAATACAAGATAATAACAGAGTTGCATCTGAAGTTACACATTTTTACATTAATTCTAGTTAAACTACTTTGATACTCCAACACCTCCCCTCCAAGTAGTGAGACTAGCCGCCACCCTTGCGTTGATTTGCGACGCCCAATGCTGCTCTGCATCTGCAATGTTTTATTTGTTGTACACCTTTCGTGAGAAAATCCGCCGGCATATTCTCGGTTGGCATATAACACAATGAGATCGCACCGCGCCGATGGCATTCTCGCACAAAGTGATGTCGCACGTCTATGTGTTTCGTACGGGAACGATAACCAGTGCACTGTATAAGTTTTTGTGCGCTTTGGCTGTCATTATATAGTGGCACGCATTCGCATGAAATGCCTAGATCGCTCAGGATTCCTCGAAGGTACATGGCTTCTTTTGTGCTCTCGGAGATAGCCATGTATTCGGCTTCTGTGCTGGATAGCGCAACTGTGCGCTGCTTTCGCGCTTCCCAGCTTATGACGGCGCCGGCTAATAAGAACGCGTATCCGCTGTATGAACGCCTGTCGGTAAGATTTGCGCCCCAATCGGCGTCGACCAAACCGTACAACTGCTTGCCGTTTTTGACGTAGATGAGGCCATGATCCTTGGTGCCGTTCAAGTATCGTAAGATGCGTTTTGCAGCCTTCCAATGGTCTTCGTTATAATTGGTGTTGAACTGACTCATATAGTTTACGGCGAACGCTATGTCTGGACGAGTTGTCACCGCGAGGAACATAAGCGCACCGATCAGACTCTGGTATGGGTACGTTGCCATGATATTATCATCTGCTTTGTCAGGTTTCACGAGCTTGCAGTTACTTTCCATTGGAGTCGGAGCAGGCTTACACTGATCCATGTTGAAGCGATCTAGTATCGCTTCGATATAATGTTGTTGCGTTAGAAATACTTGGTGAGACTTTAAGTTTTGTTGGAAGTCAACACCCACGCAACGCTTAGCAGGACCGAGGTCCTTCATCTCGAATGACTCAGATAGTGCTCGTTTGATAGATTTTATCCACGCGCTGTCATTCGACGCCAACAAGATATCGTCTACGTAAACAGTTAGTAGCAAAATTTGCTTACCCTTTCGCTTAATAAATAGGCATGGGTCATGTTTGGATGCGTTTAACCCGAGATCATTTAACTTCTTCGTAAGTCGATTGTACCACATTAACCCAGATTGGCGTAGCCCATACAATGCCATTTTCAACTTGCATACAGGGTTGCTGCTTTGCTGTAGCTTCTTCAGCCATCGATATGCTGTCTCCTCAACGTGTTTGCTGTGATTCGTGGTACCCTGACTACCAATTGGCTCACC